TTGAAGAACTTTAAGAGAAAGCCAAAATGACTTAAAATTTTTCTTTTAAGACTTAGCTGTGTATAGTTAAAACCAAAGCAGGTGCTTAGTTTTTGGTGGCATAACATAAAAGGGATATTGCTTATGCCAGCAAAGACACAAAATTCAGCGTTTAGAGACGCTCTACTCCATCACCTAGAAAAATGCTGGGCACATAGAGATACATGGTAATTTTTGAATGAATGAATGCTTCAACTACATAATTCAAGTATGCAAGGAAGTCATTTCTCTTACTTAGCTGTATTTTGTTTATGTGGATGATGTTATTGTAACAATTCCAGACTGGTCTGCAAACAAGCCCGCGGTCTAGAACTTGTCTCCCTTCTTACATCACTTGCTATTGTTCCTCCCACATGTCTTAGGCATGCCTCAGTCTTTAAAGTACAAGTAATTCCTTGAGAGGAGAGAGATGGTGTTTTCTGCATCCACATCTGCGTTATGCCTGTGATTCTGACCAGACAAGCAGACAATGCTGTAGGACAGGGGGCAGCAAACATTTTCTGTACAAGGCCAATTACTAAGTAGTTTAGGCTTTGCTAGCCGTACCATCTCTGCTGCAACGACTCAGCTCTGCCTTTGCAGCACAAAAGCAGCCACTGACAATAACTACGTGGTGTGGCTGTGTGCCAATAAAACTCGATTTACAAAAACAGGCGGTGGCTGATTTGGCCCATGGGCCCGAGTTTCCAGTGCCGGCTCTGGAGTCCCAGGCCAGAAGGAAACAAGTGTGTTGGAGAGAACGCTGGATGGAAGCTTGAGGCTGGACTCTTGATGTGTCTGATTCTTGGTTCTATAAAAGACGCTTTTAGCTTTGAAATCAACAAGTTCTAAGAATGAATTTCAATATATACTGAGAACAGGACTCACAGAATCACCAGAACTACACCTCATCAACCCATGGCGCTCACTGCCAATACCCTCTTTGAGCATGAAACAAACACACTGGCAAGACACAGGCCAGTAAAACTTCTGTGGGCTGAGAAAAATGTCAGGAGGCTGACGGAGGCTGACAGATGCTGGCCCCCACCCCCGACCCCCCTTCCAGCAATTCCTTCCTGAGGATAATAAATAGAAAATACGCACAGAAAGCAGCAACTTGCACATCGTTACACACACCATTGGCTACTCAATAAAAATACAGAACCCAGGATCTTGTCTCACCGTGGCCTATGTTAAACTCTCCCCAAGAAACGCCAGCCATTCCAACATGTTAGACTCAATAACAATCCTTCTTATCCTTTGAAAAATAAGTGGCATCTTTAAAAATAAGCTACATGTTATGTTTAAAGACATCTAATTTGTGGTTTGTATTTAAATGGTCAACTATCTACTGAACGTCCTTTATTGATTATTTTAGTTTTGCCACAAGGCAAATACCTAAGTAAACTATTATAACTTTGTATGTAATCTCTTAATTGTATGATGCATCCCAATTTCAGAGTGAAAAGTGAAAAAAATTAAACAGTGAAAAAATAAAAAATATGGATGAAATATGATGGATTTTAATGGACCCGGATTCTTGGATTTACATTTCTAATTAAAATAGAAAAAATACACTAGGCCTTATCTTATGTTGGAGTTTTCTCCATCTGGAATGACTTCTTTTTCCCTAATTGCTTGTCTATATTCTAAGCATTCATCTAAGTCCAGCTAAAAGCCAGCCCCTCCATGAAGCCTTCCTGATATGCCTACTCCACCCTCCTATGGGATTGAATGGGAGTCCTTTGAAGACACCACACACTGCACTTTACAGCTGTGTTCAGCTCTTTCATGCAAAGATTGTGTACACCCCACCCCCACAAATGCAGTACAGTGCCTTAAATGCAGAAGGCGTCCAGGTGCATAAATCCTAGTGCACCTGAGCAGAGTATATATGAATGGATAATAAGAATTTGGCTTTACTTTCTGATCCACGTTCATAAGTCGTGTTTCCATTCGTGACCAATTCAGCAGCACCTTCATCTCACCTTTCTTTCTTTCTGCGCTGTGCTCATTCAAAAAGCGTTAGGAACTAATTTTTCTCATCTGCTTTATAGAGGTTTGAAGGATTATTACGGCTGTTGAGTAAGGGCAGAGCTTTACACTGTACATAGAAATCGCCCAATGAATTTGACCTCCAGTGAACAGAATCAATTTTACAAGGATCCGAGTAATCTAAAAAGACACCAGAAGGGCTGGGATGGAGAGACAGGGATATCCCAAATAAAACAAAGGAGCCGAGAGTAGTGCTGGGTTGTCTTCAGAGGGTTACGGAATCAAGGCTGAGTGTTAGATCATAGGCTTTTGGAGCTGGAGTGAGATTGCAGACTTTCCAACGCTCATTTCACTCCTGAGAAAAACAGTGCCTTTCACTTACATTAGCTAATCGTGGGTTTGGTTTTATTAGTTAAGACATACACCTGGAGATGTTTAAACTACTGAATATACCATTAGAGCATTAATTATGAATAATTTTAGGGGTGTCGATCATACTGAAGGAGTTGATGCATCCCCCAAAGGGTCTGGGCCGTAGGGTTATTTTACATGACAATTCTGACTTCCCAGATTCATAACGGAAAGCACAGATGCCCCTTTTCTGTGTGTTCCTGAGACAGAGAGCGGGCATCCACAGGCATGAAGCTTCATCACTTGGTTGGTACAATATTCCATGGAGTGTCTTACTGATGAGACTACATCCATCAGCCAACAATTCTGATGTTCAGGAATAAAAAAAACAAAACAAAACAAAAACTAGCACATTTTTTAAGAGCCTAATATTTTAAAATTTATAAACTTACTAAACAAGGGGGAAATAACTCCATACGTCTAAACCATTAGTCTAAAATACGTGTAAAAATAACTCCATACGTCTAAAGAATTTAACTTTCTTGATGTTCGGGCTTATCTTAGACTCCTAAGAAGTCTTGCTGAAGATAGACAGCATCATGGAGGAGGTGGACACGACAGAGCTCAAAGAAGAAGGCAGACCCCATGAGGGCAGCGCCCTAGTCATCCAACCCCTATGTGACCTTGGCTTCTCCAAAAGGCCCTTCCATGTGAAATGAACACAGCAGTAAGAAGCTACCTCAAAGAGCTGTCCTGAGAATTATAAACAAGGAGAAAATATCTGCAAAATGTCTAGGACTGCTGTGCAGACCATGCAAGAAACAAGACAAGAAGTGAGTATATTGACCAGAAGGGTCTTGTGGGAAAGCGCAGGATGGGTACTTTATATTATTCACAGTAATCTACTGACACCTCCTCTTTCTCCAACTCTCTGGGGGAAATTCACATGTTTTGTCTAAGCTTTGCTTCTTCATCCCTTTTTCACAGTTTCTTTTTCTTTTTACTGTTAAAAATGCATGTGTGTGTGTGTGTGTGTGTGTGTGTGTGTGTGTGTGTGTGTACACACACACATACGTAACGCATATGTAAAGGCAGAGGGAACAGTAATTTGAACCCCTGTGCATCTATCCCCCAGCCATACAGCCCTCAGCTCATGGCTAACCTTATTTTATGTGTTCCCCACCCATTCCTCGTGCCCAACCCTGCGGGATCATTTTGAATCAAATCCCAGCCATAGATCACGTCATTTTTCATAGTTTTTAAAACACATACATCATATCTCTTTGCCATTTTAGTTTCTTGATTCAACATTCCTGACGTAAATTGTTTATAACAATAAAATGGAAGCAACATTGGAGGTGCACTTGGGGCCAGAGAAAGATTTGGAAACAAATGATTCAAATGAAAAAGGGGGACAATGAGTCAAGGCCGAGGTCAAGTAGCCTGCAAAACGCCATGCTGTCAGGCTGTGAAGAGCGCTGCGCCATCCTGGGGGTTGGCAGCAGCTCCGTGCTGGGGCATCAGAAAAACGGGACATGGTCTCACCTTTCCCTGAACGGGACTTAACGTCTCCTGGCTCCGTGCAGCCCTCCCACTCCTGAACACAGAGTCACCTTCGGCATTGAGCTACCTCTCTGCAAAGCCTTCTTGGGTTCCTCCAGTCAAAATGTACTTTTTCTCTGCTTTGCTTCCATAGTAGTTCATTATCCTCGCGCAGAGTGAGTAACAAGTGAATAAATGCTTGTGCACTGAATGAATGGGGCATAGGCCTTATTTCATTTTGCCTTATATTTTAGTTGGTGGTTTTTCACATCTGTCTCTCCCAGTAAATTTTCAATTCCTTAAGGAAATAATTGTGTCCCATCAGCTCTGTGACCCCTGCTTCCTAGTGCGTTTATCTGTGCATAGTCGGTACTCTACAAATGTCTCATGAGTGGAGCGATGCTCTAGGAAAAGGGCTAACCTTGCCAAGTGGTTAGAGGGTTAAGCCTCTGTAGGATGACTTCATGCAAATTATGGGAAGACTAGCAAAAATACAATGTGTAGGTTTCCACTGGTTTCTTGTTTTAGGGAAGCAAACTTGGGCTTGTCATTACAAAAGTAAAAGAATCTGGGAGTGGTTTCCTCTGTCCTAACGACCCAGCAACACCTGCCTCCAGCATCATACTCCTGTGTTTCTCTCCTACCCATTCCCAAGGTGGAGGCTACACTGAGTTACTGCCCATAGGATGGAATTACAGGCCTGAATCTGAGACAAAGGTTCTTTATGCTGTGTCTGGTTATTAATTAGCGGCTGGAAATTTCAGGACAGGGCCATTAACACGCTCATAAACCTTTTATTTTAAATGTTTTCGCTTAGCCGGGATTCTGATGTGACTCTCCTTATAAGCAGGACGTAGGACATTTGTTTCTTAACATTTCGGAGGCTCATTAACGACTCTGTCCTAGCGGCTCATTAACTAGCCCATTAGGGATTTCCCTCATCCAGGCGAAGCCTCCACTTGCCATCATCACAGGGCCTTTGCGGGCACTTAACTGGGAGGGTGTGAGGCCAGCTGCAAGGCTCTAAGGAGAGAGCTGGGCTTCGTCAGGTCTCCCCTGAGGCTGAATGGCGGAGAAGGGGAGCACTCACTCACCTGCTATCCTCCCAATGGGCATGGCGTGCTCCTCAGGCGGGGAGACGGACACCATGATGTGGTTCATGTACGCCAGGTCTTCCCGATGGGACAGGTTGATGGGTTTCCCTTCCCTATGCAGCCCGTCCTCAGACAGCCTGGACTGTTTGAAATCCATGGAGTGCCGGGGGTTCAGGATCAAAGGGTGCATGATGGGGCTGGGCATCAGCTGGATCACGCGTGTGCTCTCCTGCCGGGGACTGGATGGCTTCTGGTGGGACTCGGAGGATGGCGGGCAGTGATTATTCTCCATGGGAGACACTGACAGGGGGTAGGACTCTTGGTGGTTATTCTCCTGGTGGAGCCTCGGTCCCTGGGCCCTCTCGGCTGGGGAGAGGCGACGGATCATGTTGTCCAGGGGGGACCGGAGGGGCCGCTGCTCGGGGTCAGGAGACGGCCGGTGATTTGTCGTGACAGGTGATCTAGAGCGGTGCAACAGTTCAATGGTGGGGGGGTTGTGGTGCACGTTCTCCACTGGCGGCCTCGGGGTCCTCTGGACACAATTATCTGTGGAGCAAAGGGAAAGACAATCACAGACCCGAGTGAATTGTTGGGACAGGGACCTCACTGCGGTTCTAAAGTAGTAAAGAGTAGAGTATGTGTGCATACCGTGTAGCACCTTTCTTTCCAGGATGGAGAGTGGTGTTTTCGCTGCTTAAAATAAAAATTAAAGTGCACATATTTAAAATTCTTTTCCTATCGCTAGACAAGCCAGGAATGTCTACAAATATTCCATTAATCACCTACGAGTGGCTTAGAAACCCAGGGAAGTCAAGCTTTTCTTCTTTATCTTTTTGTTACTTGACTTTTCAATGTGGTTTTCAGGGTCCTTATGGGTTTCTCTCTAGATGCTTTCATTGACTTACATTTTCATAACCAAATTTTCATATTCTCTACCTCCAGGAGTTGTAGGCATTAATAATAATAATAATAATAATAATAATAATAATAATAATAATAATGATAATAATAATAATAATGCAATTACTATACCGTAGGTACTGGACTATGTCATTTAAAATTTACAACACTCTAAGTAGGAGATGCTAACTACATTACTCCTATTCTACAAGTGAGGAAATGGAGGCATAAAGAAGTTAAACAACTTATTCAATGTCACACAGCCAGTTAGGAGAGTAGACCCAGACTCCAATCAGATTCTAGAACCTATGTACCCATTATAATATCCACCACTTTGCTATGCAGAAACTGGGGGGAGGTGGGAGAGTTCGTTATATCAAAATCTGCTCTAACCATGAGCAGTGGGCCTACTGTACAGAATAATAATCTTGTACTTGAAAGAACATTTAGGATTCTGAGTGCTCAGACCCTACCTCCAAATGCTCAGAGACAGGGAGAGGTAAGTAAGAAGAAGGACGGGAGGACACAACATACCTCTACCCCAACCCACTTGAACTTTCAAGCTGGTCACATTTGAGGCAAGGACATCAGAAATGTACATAGCTCAGCAACAGAAGTAGCTGTGTGAGCTGGGTTCAGAGAGACCAGCACACACGTGGCTTTTGGAGTCCCTGCTAAGAATAGGAAGGAGCGACATCTGCCTATGAAATGGAGCTGTCTACAGGGCTTCACATTCATCTTAGTGAGGTTTTTTCTGGCTACATCTGTTCCCAGAGCTGTCTCACCAAAAGGATGGGCATGTTTGCAGGTCCCTGATCTTGTCAAAGACTTTTGCATGGTTCTAAGCAAAGCGAGTCCAAGGTAGCTCCTTTGTCCATTACGATCTCTCTATGAAGAACATATAAACGAGATCTGGGAATCTGACAGGATGAGCAGAGACAGAGGTAGTCATTTATTAGAACGTTTTACACAGGGTTAAGAGGAAAATGAGGACTCTGCTGGACCCCACCCATCACGTGAGACCATGCACAAAAGAAATATTGTTCATGATCATTAAAAGATCATCTGCCTGAAGAAAATGGGTTAACTTTGTAACTACTGCATAGCCCGCTGCCATGAATTTAAAAGTGCTTAATCATTGGCATAGCTGGCTACCAGTAGGTGACTGGTTAATAAATTATGGTACATCTTTGAACAGTGGATGACTATGCAACTATAAAATGAAATGAGGAGTCTCTCAGTATTGCGCTGAGGACTGGTCTCCAGGCTCCATGGTCAGATAAGCAAAGCAAGATGCAGTATTTACGGTATGCTATCGTTTTTTTTAATAAAGGACAAGGGGGTTTCAGTTTAAATAATGGCAGAGTGGCTTGTATCGGACGAACCTTTCTACATATGCATATGATAAAATCTGGATACAATACATCTATAAAAGCTATTGAAAGGTACTGGACAAAACTGAAAGGGATTTCACTCTTGAAAGAACTGCACAGATTGGGATCCAAATTTATACAGCTTTTGCCCTGATGATTCTCCCAAGTCCATACAGCTAGAAAATGAACAGAAAGTTTGCTTGCGATATCAGGGAATAGAGTCTGGAGCTGCCAGAATGGCAAAAAATTGAGAGAGCAAATTCCATAACGGAGGGAACCTCAGAGGGAGTAGCCACGAACTGGCACATCAAGTTTTCTTAAATCCTTAACACGTGCTCCTGAATAGCACATGTGCAGGGGAAACTCTAAGGAGCTCAGTGAAAAGCAACAGCTTTATGAGTGAAAGACATAAGCAGAAATCTCAGCTATTGGACAGTTACTGGAGACAGAGTTCAGAGTTTAAGTCCTATGAACAAAGACTCTGTAAACACCTTAGGCTATTTATTACCCCAAAAGGCCACACCTTAGGAGTAAGGACTATGCTCTAGGACAAAGGGATTTACCTGAGGGCTAAAGGCAAAACTGAAATATATCTGCGCTAACCAAATGTAAGACCAAGCCTCCACAAACTCAAAGTGACTGGCTACTTTTGAACTGCCTGCTAGAACAAAAATCAATACCCTTCAGAGGAATATAACATAATCCAGAGTGTCTACAGTATGTTATCTATAATGTTCAGTATCGAACAAAGGTTTTGCAGACATGCAAAGAAACAGAAAAAAGTGACCCAAAATCAAGAGGAAAGGTGATCAACAGAAACAGACTCTGAGATAATCTAGATGTTAAAATCAGACGTTTAAAGTAGGTACTTTACAGTCCATGCACTTGAAATGATGGACATAATGAGCGATAACAGATGGAGACCGTCAGAAGAGAAATGGAAACAAATAAACAAAAAATAAGATTCTAAGACTGAAAAAAAATACAATATCTGAAATGAAAGACTGGATTTGATGGGCTTAATAGCAGATTGCAGATGACAGAAAAAAGAGTTACTAAATTTAAAGACAGATCAATAAAAATTAAAAACAAACAAAAAAATAGATCCTCAGTGACCCATGGAACAATACTAATAGACAAGTAACTGGAGTCTAAGGAGACAACAGAAAGAATGGGGCAAAAAAATTTGAAGAAATAGTGGCCAAACTGTCCCCAAATCTGGCAACAACAACAATAACAACAACAGTAACAACAAAACAAAACTTAAAGATCCTATAAGCTCAGCACATACCAAGCAAGATAAATACAATGAAAGCTACACCCAGGCACATCATAGTCAAATGAAAATCTTGAAAGTAACCAGAGAAAAAGTTATGGGAAAAAGTTGAGCTACTTATGGCTAAGCACTGAGAGATAGAGATAGAGATAGAGATAGAGATAGAGA